AAAACCAGATACAAGAGGCAGAAAGGTGCTTTGAACAATAGCGTTTAACTAGATATGGACATGGTTTTCTGAAGTACCATGCATATATTATATTTGTGACATATTTTGCTGTTTGTAGGATTTGTTCATCAGCACAAAGTATTGAATACATTTTCACATTATTATCAAATTACCCTTCAATTTTATCAATAATTATCAGTGGTTTTATAATTATAGTTATTACTGGTTCCAGGTAGTCCCTGCTATTCTTGGAGACAGAGAAAAGGATGGTGAGGCAGATGATGATGCTAGTGATTTCAACCACTCTTCTGAAAACCAAGACCAGAAGCAGAGAATTGCGGAAAGAATGCAGAGCTGGAGTGCAAAATATGGTAGAGGAGAGGATGTTGGTGCTCCAAATTATGACAAAGAAGTTTCCCGTAACCATATTCCTCTGCTCACCAATGGGCAGGAGGTAAGTCTAAGCTGTTTAAAAGCCAGTGATTTGCTGTGTGATTGTTCATTCGCGGAACGATGGATTGGAACTTTTCTTTTCTATCGGAATATTGTAGGTTTCTGGCGAGTTATATGCTGCATTACCTGAGCGGTTTTCTGTGGCATCTCCTGGAGTTGCTGGTGGGAAATGTATGAATTCTCTTCCTTATGTTGCTGAAACCAATTAATTGCAGAAAAAGAAATTCATCTTTCACTTGATAGGTACCTATGGCTGACTGATATAAGTATTGTAACTCCTGTGCAGCGAATATAAGGGTAGTGGATCCAGTGATGGCTGGAAGATGAAGCAGGAGAAGAACGTTGTTCCATTGAGTACATGCCAGGCTGCTTCTGGAAGAGGTGTTGGAGATATTGATGCCAGCACTGATGCACGGATGGTCATCACACTGCGTCTTGTTATTCTCTGCATATTCTTGCACTATCGAATAACAAACACTGTTCCAAATGCCTATGCTCTGTGGTTGATATCTGCGATATGTGAGATTTGGTTCATCGAACAATCACTTTTATCATTCATATTCTTTCCTTCAATTCAAACTTGTCGAAAAACCTTCAAATCTCTTCAAATATCAATCAAATTAAAAGCTAAAATATTTAAATCTATCACTAATCAATCGTCGGATCAATTTGAAATCCAAACTATGTTAATCTTCTAATCAAACAGAATATTCCTATGGTTGGAATTGAACAACGAGAGTGACCATGGTCAATTTAGTGTCTTAATTTTTAGGGAAAATTACACCGTTTTTACTAAACTTTACTCTTTCTCTTATTTTGGTCACCATACTTTCAATTTTTCTATTTTGCTCATTGAACTTTACAGATGAATCATTTTGCTACTCTGTCGTTAACTTTTAAACGGTGTTATGACATGGCATAAGCATCAAAACGACGTCATTTTAAAAAAAATCAAATATACACTAAAACGACATAGTTTCGAATCTTCTTCTTATCCTCTATTGTCGCAACCGGCCACCAAGTCATTTTTCATTCCGGTCATCGTCGACCGTCATTAATGGTGATTGTTCAGTCCCAAAATTCATGGGTCGGTTCGTCTTGACCCCATGAGTCTGAATATGGTGGTTGTTTCACCAGAAAATGTCCCAAAATTCGTGAATCTAGACTGAAACGTTTCGGCTTCCTCACTTTCAATCTCCGATTCATGAACATCGGAGCAAGTTCCGCAAAATAGAAGTCGGATTCGGACTCAAGGTGTTGAGGCAAAGCAACTCGTGAAATTTGTGACCGAATGGTCACCAACGGTGGCCGACGGTGGCATTCGGCCACCTTCTATTTTTATTTTATAATTGGGTGAGCAAAATAGGAAAGAGTAAAGTTTAGTGAGGAACGAAGCTATTTACCTTTATATTTTCAATAATTTTATATTAAATAATAATAAAAAATGACATGTCATCATATCGTTAGAGAGTTAACGGAAAAGTGAGTACAATGATTCAATTTGTAAAGTTCAGTGAGTAAAATAGAAAAATTGAAAGTTCAAAAGCAAAATAAGAGAGAAAGTAAAATTCAATAAGGAAAATGTAATTTAACTTTTTTTTAAAAAGATTTTAACATGTTACATCAACTTTTCTGAACGGCAACTAACGAAAATGACCATGATAAAAACAAATTAAAAGTTTAATAATTGTAATTACATGACTATTCAAAAAAAGTTTAATTATTATAATATAAATTTTAAAAGTTCAATGACTGAAATGAAATATATCTAAAAGTTAAATAACCATCAGTGTAGTTTCTTCGAAGTTTAACTGAGTTTGGTCCCTTTTAAAATACAGGAATGAAATTACAGCCCTAAGGTTTATAAGAGTCGCGCAGACAAAACAAACACGAAAGAGAAAAGGTTTCAGGTCAAGTTCACCTCTTTGAACCAACACGAAACGGTGCCAATGGCCGTTTTAAAGTTATAATCTCCCAACTCGGAAGGTTTGTACGAAACGCTTTTCAAATCATTCTCCTTCGTATATCCTTGGCTCAAAATAATGTGCTTTGTAGTGAGTTATTTTTCAGCTCACTTCTTACTACTTGCTGATACGTGTTCTTTTCTGTTCTTCTTGTGTTTTCGTTTCTTAGTATTCGATTCTTTTAAAACAATTCTATCTTAATTTGGGTATTTGGAGTTATTGCTCTTTTTTCTCCTCTAAAGCATGGTGCTGAAGACTCTTCGATGGTGGCCTATCCTACGGGAGAAAACATTTTGTGGTGAATTGCACTGTGGGTATTAATGGGTATTTGGCCTTATTCAAAATCATGTTTTGTTCAATGCGGTTTACTTCGACAAATTGTTGCTCGCCGCAAGAAATGTCTTTTAAGGGTATATTATGCTTCTTCATCTGCATTGCTGTCGGAAGAGCGTGACTTTGAACACTGTTCTGAATTTGAAAGTGATAGTAATGGAGTTGGGGAAGTTCGAGTTCCGGATAAGAAGTTCGAATTTTGTAGAAACCCCAGGCTTTTTCCCATAGTTGTTAGGGTGTTTAAGTCCTTGAATTGGTTCACTGCAAGGAAAATTAGTTTTCATAATGCTGTAGAGATGTATGGATTTGATCATTCAATATACGTGTTTCGGATCATTGTTCATATATTTGCTATGACAGGGATGCAGATGGAAGCTCATGCTTGGTTTAGAGATATTGTTTGCTATTACAAACTAGCTGAGAAGGATATGTTTGAATTATTACCGTATCTGTTAGATTCGCCTGAGCATGTCCATAGATCAGCTGACATCTTCAATGTGCTCATCAAGGTGTTTGCATCCAATTCGATGCTTGAGAACGGTGTAGACGTTTTTGTGCAGGCTAAAGCAATTGGGATTGAGCTAAGTATTAAGTCATGCAACTTCTTGCTTAAGTGTTTAGTTGAAGCAAACAGAGGAGAATATGTGAGAAGCTTGTTTGGAGAAATGAAAAACTCTGGGCCATCACCTAATGTTTACACTTATACGATTATGATGAACTTTTATTGCAAAGGATATCATGGGAGGGGTGTAGACATTAAAGAAGCAACCAAAATTATGGCGAATATGGAGGGAGATGGGATAAACCCATCTGTTGTAACATACAGTACATATATTTATGGGGTATGTAGTGTTGGTCATGTTGAATTTGCTCTAGATTTCATTCAGTTTTTGAGATCTAAAAACCACCTATCAATAGCTTCTGTTATAATGCTGTTATGTATGGGCTTTGCCAAAAAGGCAAGCTATTTGAAGCATCAGAGGTTTTGGATGAAATGAAGAATTCCGGGATATCACCAGATTCTCATAGCTATAGTATTTTGGTTGATGGGTTTTGTAAACGAGGTGATTCTGTGAAAGGTCTAAATTTGATTGAGGAGATGGTACATAATGACATGAAGCCTTCGCTTGTTACTTATACATCACTGTTTGATGGGCTCTGTAAGAGCGGACTGGCAGATGTTTCACTGACTATGTTTCGTAATCTTGCTAGCTCCGGATATGAATATGACCTGGTTGCTTACAGTGTCTTGCTTAAGGGCTTTTGTCTTCAAGGCAATCTAGATTCTGCCATGGAACTTTTTAATGAGATGATCAACAATAGCTTAATTCCTACTGCCAACAGTTTCAACTGGTTGATTCATGGATTCTGTAAGATGGGACTCTTGGATAAAGCCCTGGAACTCTTCAACATCATGCTGCAAAGTGGCGTCTTACCTACTGTCTTCACTTTCAATGTAATTGTCGATGGGTATTGCAATGCAGACCATATGGAGGAAGCTTTGAAACTGGTAAATGAAATGCATGAGTTTGGCATTTTCCCTAACACTTATACATATAATGGAATTATTAAGAGGCTTTGCAAGCAAAGCAGCGCAGACAAAGCTTGGGAACTTCTTCCCCAAATGCTTAAAATGGGTACACTTCATGATGTTCATTGTAACATCCTATTGGATGGATTTTCTAAACAGTCGAACTTGAAGAAGACCTTGATGTTGTACACTAGAATGTTAAAGTTTGGGGTCACACCAACTACTTTTACATATACAATTCTTATCAACATATTCTGCCGGAGCAGAGACATGCATGAAGCATGGAATTTGTTTAAGGACATGATGGAAAGGGGTTTAATTCCTGATACCGTTTCTTACACGTCTGTTATAGCTGGATTTTGTAGAGTTGGGGATATGAGAAAGGCTTTGGCTCTCTATAATGAAATGGTGCAAAGAGGATATTCTCCCAATGTTGTTACCTACACCAGTCTAATTGATGGATTTTGCAATGTACATCGTATGGATATGGCCAACTTGTTAATTGATGAAATGAAAAAACGAGATATCAACCCAGATGTGGTGACTTATACTGCTCTAATTGCTGGGTACCAAAGACTTGGGGATATTAATAGAGCACAAGAGTTGTTCACTGAAATGAAAGAGAATGGTATTTTGCTTGACCTTGCTGCCTATAGGACAATGGGGATGGATACTGACGTGGCTTCACATGATTAGAAAATTGAGGAAATGATCAAAGAATGGAATGGTAACTCCCTGGTTTCTTTTCAGTATTCATGTCATCTGGAAAATTTTAATTTTACAAAATTTCTTTGAAAGAATGGAATGGTGCTTAAATCTTCTGTGTTAGTGTGATAGAATTATATTTTATAGGGAGTATGATTTGTTGCTAATGATAGAATTCACAATAGAATTTGAAGTATATTACGTTTCCCATTTTGTGAATAATGTACTCTTTCTGTTATACATTTACTCAAGAGTTACTTTTCGTTTTTTTGTTTTTGATAATATTTGTGCAGGTTGAGTGCTTTGTCTTGGTCCTGGCACGTGAATGATTTTTTTGGCTCAATTAGGTTAAGTGCAGGTTAGTATAAGCCTTTTTATACGAATGCATTTAGATTGATAGTTGATGTTCTAGGCAAACTTTATAAGTTGTGCATAACACTTTTGTTTCTGTTGCACAATCCGCGGCTTTTGTGGTTAAGTGCTGCAAAGGTCGGTGTAAAATTGATCTCATTCCATGAGAGAGGTATGAATAAAACATCAATTTTCTTGTTAAATTTATTGCTAGTTATTTCATATACAACTAAGGCTTTTACAATCAGATGAAATTAAATGTTCTAGTTTGTGCTTTTTGGAATATTTTATTCTGTTGAAAAAGTTTGGAGAATGAATTTTCTTGCTGCTTGATTTGTTTACTTTATGCTTATTTTTCTCTATGCTTCGTAGGAAAAGTATTTCGGAAGATGTTGGCAGTCAAAACTCAGTAATTAGACCCTAAATGGTTGTGTCAGCTTTTTGTAGTAGAACATACTAGCAATAGAATTCCTGTTGACTCATCTTATATTCTATGTAAAATTATAGTTAAACTCGAGGGTTCTGGAAGGCATTTGAGGACCTGTTTATGTCAGGTACGGTATGTGTTTTCAACGTCTTCGCTTTATGTGGATATGGACCTCCACTTAAGACCAGGCATAGAAAAGCAGGGGTGAGTCTTCATCATTCTCTGCAGGTTCTCGGAAGGAGAGTTCAAAATCAAGTAAAAAGGGACCATCCAAGAAGAAATCTGGCAAGACCGTTGATCCTCTTGTGCCAGAATTCAGTATAAACGATACAGAGGAGTGTGTTGAAGGTAAACTAATCACTTTCTTATTATGTTTTAAGCGGTGATTATCAGTTTCATTCCTGGTTTGGCCTAATGAGGATAAGCTCCATCCATATCCTGCATTGCAATTTGTGAAATTAGGTGCCGAGTTTAATGATGAAAAGCCACTACTAGTTTCACAAATGAGCCTGGAGAAACCTTTGGTCAGTCTGGCAGCTTTTGTTGCCGCTACGCTTACGGGGAATGCTGGTGTTCCTATAGCTGTGGATACGAGGAAAAAACAAACTGGTGAAGTGGGGTAAGTTCTTCTCCTCCCTATTTTTGCTGCACATGAAATGTTCAAAATAATGAGATTACTTTACACGTGAAATTGATTATCGGATTTCAGGGCTATTGAGCTTATGTTAGTGATGTACTGAATTATTTAAAAATTGGTATAATAACCAATAAATTACTGTAGATGAATATAAGCTTGTTTTTGGTGCTCCTATATCTGTGACTGTATTTAACTCACAGTTCTGAATTTTGTAAATATGTTGCTGATCTGGGAAGGTGGAAGCTGGCCAAATGCTGGCTTTTATTCTATTTTAAATTTTAACTTTTGTTGTGTACAGGGTTATCTGCTATCCTCTGTGTGTATTTTTGTTTCATCTTGTTAAATCTTTGCCCTTCATTCTGCCATAATGCGTTTAAATTGTCATGTTTTCAGTGCCTGCATATTGGTTGGATCTATGGTTCTGTTACAGAAGATACTATTACAGGATTCAAAATGCATGCCTATGGTTGGTAGTCGATTTTGTACATGCCAAAACGACCAGCCTTTTAAGTGTCTGTTCCTACTAATCCTACTAATCTTTCAGATCGTCCGAATCAAGTGCTTCGGCGGGCCCTTGGTTCTGTGGAAATTCTTTTAAGTATGCATTGCCATATCTCGTACGGTTACGGTAGTAGGCTGAAGTAGCTTGAACGGTTTGCATATGTTAACACTACCATCTTCCCGGTCATCGCTATTCCTCTTCTCGTGTATCGCACATTGCCTGCTGTATGCCTGCTTGCTAACAAGTCCATTTTCCTACGGGTTAGTCTCTTCTACACAACCCAAGTTTCATTTGCATGTATGCACATGAACTTATCGATTGGTTGGCTATTGACAGTAACTTCAAGGTTACCTTGAAAACATCTGATGAACACACCGATTTCACTGAACTTTACGTGTTCAAATGGATAACACTTCCCATCCCACCATCCATGTTGTAGGAATCTCCTATGCCATCAGCAGAGGTCATCAACCATGGGGTCTATTCTTTGGTAAGTTGTTTCTTCACCTTCACGGCGATCATCCATATCTACACCTTCCCGAAGGCTCCAACAGGGCAGCAAAACCGGACACCGACCGTTGTGCCATATATATAGGCCGCATGGTTACAGCATCTGGAAAACACTGCTATTTATTCAAGTATATATAAACATGCTCGAGTGTAGAAGCAAATTGGAGTCTATCATTCTATATTTCTAATAAAATTACAATCAAGTACCAGAGGTTTTCCTATAGAAAAGATACCAAAAATATGGGAAATTTTCTTCCTCTGAATTGTAAGGAAGCAAGTTTAGTTAATCCATTGCATTAAAAGAAAACTACGTACAAATGATGTCTTAAAAGTTTACCAGTAGAATTCCAGATTTCGGGCTGGTTCTGTCTAATAATTGTCAAAAGAGAAATACGTACAAATATACATACAAAAAAATCTACTGTATGAAGTGACCACGTGTTCGGCCCACGTTCGTTGCATGACGTGCAAATCATCAACTATCGTTATCCATCTTGAATTCCTGAAACACGTGCGGCATTGTAATGGTGACACATGGAACAGTTTGCTAGGATGATCCCACGTGTAATCATCATATACAATTTATTTTATCTGTGTTTTCTTACATTATATACAGTCGCACCAAGTTCATCCACTTCATTTCTCGTGAACTCAAACTTAAACCTAATCTCGATGGGCATCATCGGTGAAGAACCAGTTCTGTCTAGACTAGATCGATTAGACAACATGGTATGGTGTTTTGGTTTGCATGCTTTGTTTTGAAATCTCTCTGATTCCTTCAAATATGGAAATGAAAATTTTAGAGTGTCGTTCGAATACTGTCGGAGATTCTCCGATGATATCTCGTGTTGTTGCATGTTGATTTATATAACGTGGTGTTGGTGATAGCAGCTAAGGCAGTTGGAGGAAATGAGAGGGAGCAATAATAATGACCATTACAACAGGTCTCCCAGCCCAAGGAGTTCGAGTGCATCGACCCCATCAAGCGGGACGTTGGCCAGCACACGCACCGACGGTCATCTGTCGTCGGCGTTTGATTTATCGCCGACGGCTAAGAGTCTGGAGAAGTACTGCCGTCCCGTGGAACTTATGATGGTGGAGACTCAGACTAAAGGGACGCTCATTCAGCGGCTGGACCAAGCAGAGGACCGCCTACTAAAGGTGCGTATGTATTCATATCATATGAATATATACATAACTATTTTTTCTCTGTGGACCAAGAGACATAGGCTTGAAAATTTTGATAACTAATATGTCAGTCTATACTCAAAAATATTTATAGATCTGTCACAAATATTTTTAGATCCCTCACTAGGGTTGAGTATCTAATCTGATGGATGAAGTTGTTTTGAATCAGCTGTGTGTGCAGATGGAGGAAGAATTAGAGGAGAAAAAGAGGGAAGCGGGCAATGAGGAGAAGGGGCAGAAGAAAGGAATCAAGCACTTTGTGAAACAATGTGTCATTGGGCAACGCTCCCAACACAAACGTGGGGAGTGGAAAGTAGGCAAAGATGGTTCAAAAATAAAATAAAATGAAAAACAACGTATAAATATATTTATTTATCATGCACGAACTTCTCTTTCTGTTCTGGGATTGTAAACAAAGTAGATATCAGTATATCTTGTTAAATAAGACAATTTTGTTTTCTTTGGAAAGTTGGTATATTTAGTAAGCAAAGTAGATATTAATATATTTTCCTTGCTCTTTAAATGGGTATATTTGTTTAATGAGTAACTCGTGAGAAGTTCGAACTCGGTAAATGTTCGATTTGAGTTGGCTCGACTCAAAATCGACATGAGACCTTAATGAGTTGAGCAGAGTAAAGTCTAACTCGAATCGATAAATTTACGAGCAGCTCGCTAAATTTTTAAAAATATTTTTAATAATTGCTTTAAAATTATTTTATTTAAAAAATAAATCTAAATAATAATAATTTATTTATTTATAAATAATAAAAATAATAAGTTAACTAATCTATAATTTTTTAGTAAATAAAAAAACCAACCCTAATAGGCAAAATGGCCCTGGGGATAAATATTCCCATAATAATGCTCTTCTCGGATTATTTCTCTATCTAAGATGATTTCTATAGTATCACGACAAAGTCTCCAAGATCACTTGGTATCTTCAGAAAAAATAAGACTCTAGAATTACTTGGCGTCTTCGGAAAAAAATGAAGACTCTGAGACTACTTGGCATCTTCAGAAAAAAAAAAAACTTCGAGAATACGCGACATCTTCAATTCATACAGAAGATTTCGGAAATACGCGACGTCTTCACATCTGGACCAGTTGTTGCATGGCGTGAGTAGAAATCAACGACATGCATGCTTTTTACGGGGGAGCGGGTGTAATAACGGTGTCATTATTACACCAATAATGGAGCACAGGGAAATGTTATAAAAGAACCCGGAGTTAGATTTTGGGTAAAAGGTGAGGGAAAAAATTTGGAGAAATTTGAGTGAGGCCGAAAGAAAGAGAACATTTGCGGTGGAGATTGGTAAACTTGAGAGTTCGATCGAAGGAAGAAAGAATTTGAGTGCTATGGTAAACGATTTGATAAATTTAGTGTAAATTTTATTGTTACATTTTTAATTTTTATTTGAAATATAAATTAATTAGATTATTTATTTTGATTTATATATTAAATTGTATTCTAGTGGTTTGGTAAGTTTAATTTAAATTTTTATGTAATTTTTAGTGTAATTTTTGTTTTTAATTTAAATTATAATTATTAGACTATTTATTTTAATTTTACATTTTAAGTTGTATTTGATTAAAACTTTGTAAGTGTAGTTTAAATTATTACCTTGTTTTTTTATTGAGTAATATAAATTATTAGACTAATTATTTTTATTTTACAGATTAAATCGTATTTGAGTACCTTGGTAAGTTTACTTTTAAATTTATTGTTTTATTTTGTGTTTTTATTGTAAAAATAAATTAATTAGACTATTTATTTTGATTTTACAGATTAAATTGTATTCGAGTGCTTTGGTAAGTTAAATTTAAATTTTCATGTAATTTTTAGTATAAATTTTGCTTTTAATTTAAATTATAATTATTAGACTATTTATCTTGATTTTACATATTAAGTTGTATTTGAGTAGTTTGGTAAGTGTAGTTTAAATTATATTTTTATTTTTTATTGAGTAATATAAATTATTGAACTATTTATTTTGATTTTACATATTAAATCGTATTTGAGTGGTTTGGTAAGTTTATTTAATTTTTTTTGTTTTTATTGTAAATATAAATTAATTAGACTATTTATTTTGAATTAACATATTTTTGTTTAAATTTTCTTTAATTATGATTAATTTGAAATATTTAATTTTTTTATATAGATTTGTTGAAGCATGGCAGAACAAAATGTTCTTTTGAGACTAGTTGATCGACACATTTCTAGTCATTTGGGAGAACTGTTATTATGATCGAATAATATATTTTATTTGAAAACGATGAATTAATTCTAATTACATGGATTAACAAATTGCAGGATAACGAACAACGAGTCCTTCGTAGTCGAATGAACACTTGTGAGAAGCCAGATGAACTTATTGTCCAGAATTTGCAAATGGTGGGTTTTAACGATGTAAAATTTGTAAGAGAATATAGGTTGGTCCCCGGTTTGATCAGTGCATTAATTAAATGGTGGAGACCAGAAGCTCATACATTTCATCTTCTGTGTGGTGAATGTACGATCACTTTGGAGGATGTGATTTTATAACTCAGGGTCCCTAAAAATGGAATGACAGTGGTGGGAAAAAATGATCAGGACGTGTTTGAAATGTGTGGGGCATACCTTGGGAAGGTGCTAGAAAAAACATTTACAAAAGGGCCACGCTTGAGATTATAATGGTTGGCGAATGAGTTTAAGCTTGGTCATTATTGTACTAAGCAAGGCATTATATATGCAACTCGAGCATATATATTACGGTTGATCGGGGGAGTCTTGATGCCAGATAAATTCGGTAATCTTGTTCATATTCATATCTTTTGTTTTTGGGTAACTTTTTGAATACCCGTCAGTATAGTTGGGGATCGACAATATTGGTGTTCTTGTATCGCGAGATGTGCAAGGCGTTGTTACTTGTAAATGATGCTTGTAGATGGAAATCAATGGATGTATAATGTTACTACATCGTGGGCCTGGAACAAACTTCCATGGTTAACACTAATTAGCTGAACTGCAGTTGACTTTCCTCTTGCCAGAAGGTAATATTTTGATTTAAAATATTTTTATCTTAAATTAATTACGAATATTTTGTATAGGAAAAATAATTAACGAATTTTATTTTGATTGATATATAGATGGAGGCATAAAATAGAATGAACGCGGTTGGTGCACAATAATGTGAAATAGTTTATATTTAATATGAATATCAAATGCAAAGTTGAGCTATATATATAATAATTAGCTAATTTTATTTTTATTTAGTTTCTAATATTGTTTATTTATTTAGTTGAATTTTATAGTTATTTAATTAATTAATAACTATATAATTTTGTTTTATAGTTAATTTGGAGGTCGTACGATGATGAAGTAATTATGTCGTGTGTCGCAACATGAATGGTACGGTTGTCAATATTAGTGTGATGTTACACCATTGATTCATTTCGTTTTTGTTGAGTTCCAATTTTCTAATAGAGTGTTGTTACACCATTGATCCATTTCGCTTTTGTTGAGTTCCAATCCTCTATAGGTGAAAGCACTCATCAACATAAGTGTATAAATTTATTCCAGTATGAATCCATTCAGCGACTGCATGAGCACACAGATATCTCCACGCATGAAAGAGGCCACAGTCACACCATCTTTGTTCTGCTCTTTCGTTGTGACGTTTACATGCGATGACAACAAAAGTATGTCTAATTCGATCGAAGTCATGAACAAACATTGAGGTTGTCAATCGCTCATTTTCTTCCATTGTTTCCACCACTGTCGGAGCCCAGATTTTACCTCGATTTATCAGACACTCGATCTATTTCCCTTTATCAGACCAAACTTTGGCCAACATAAAGTATGTCTCTTTCACCACACTCGCTATTAGGAGATGGCGTATACCTTTTAGTACTTAATTAATGGCCTCAGCAAGGTTTGTTGTCATGTGTCCGTATCGCTGACCACCATCGTATGCTTGCGAACACTTTTCCCGCTCGATTTTCGAAGCCCACTTCCAAATGCACTCATCTGTGACTTTCAAATCCTCCAATCTCTTATCAAAATTTGGTTGGCGTAGTTCATATCCTGTTTAATAATATATATTTTGTTAATGTCAATTTATAAATAAACACATAAATGAGTACAAATGTTGAAAATAAAACTTATCCATGCTAACTATCTCCCTACGAATGTGACCGTTATGAAACTTCTCAGTATAATTTTTACCAATATGGCGGATACAATATGCGAGATATACATGCGGAGGTGTCCAACGACTGAGATTACTGCCAAAAGGCATGTTCCTCGATCGGATATCAAGGAAACACCATATTCTCTGTAACACCCCTAACTCATATTCGACCCGAATACAAGTCTGAGATGTCAAATTGACTTTTCAAACTTTGATTCTTAAAGAAAAATTCTGGGAATTTAAAACTTTCATTAAAACAAAATACTTTAATTTACATAAAAGAGACCACTTAATACAAAATCGATCAGAGCATTCGTAATTAACCAATTATTACATACCAACACTTTATACATAACACAATGCCTACTTTGTCAATTACTTCTGATCTAATTTCTTAGTAATGTTGTTGTCCGTGCCACTGCTATTCTGAATCTTCTTATTTCTTGGTACCTACGTGTAAATCACTTACACGCTAAGTCATAGACTTAGTGAGGCAATAAATGAATATGCAATAATATCTTTATGAATATGCATTCTTACCATTTCCTTCATGACATTTCAATATGCTATTACACAATAACATATATAATCATATCATGCATGTACAAAACTTACCTTCTTGTACCACTTTCACTTTACTTTGTATTTTAATTGCCCATGTATATTATTGAGAATAGAGGTATGTGAGTACATAGAGGTTGTGCACTAATGCTGTCACCTCGTATCAATTCCCTCATGGGGCACCGAACCTTAGTTCAGCATTCGTCCCGAAGGACTGTCATATATGTCCCGTAACACCACTATATCCCGAAGGGCTATTATACCCTCGACTCTTGGTATGCCAATTACACCTATAGCTCTCATATCGTATACTATGGGCATTATTCTTATATTTTATATGTTCATGTACTCATGTCATTTCTCTTGTGATCATGTAGTTCATGTCATTTCTCTTGTGATCGTGTAGCTCATGTCATTTCTCTTGTGATCATGTATCTCATGTCATGTTCTCATATCACATATCATATCACATGTGTATTTGAATCTATTCATATATATACATCATTTATCCAATCACATGAACATATATATGCCTTATGCATGTATTACAATAATTATCATGTATGCATGTTCACAACTATTGTACTATGAAAATCAATATAGGAATTAGACTTATCACAAGTCTTATTCCATTATACTATACATATAGTATGCACTCA